AATTTTTGATGGATATTCGGTCGCACGCTCTCTGGCAAGTCATTGTGGAATTATCTTTGTTTGCTGTGTCTTATCAGTAAAGGCTTGGCAGGCAGCTACGCAGTTGCTGCCAAGGAATTCATTTGCCTTTGTGCCGAGCAGTTTTTCAGGCCTCGGCTGCCTGGTTGGGGGGTGTGGGTCGGACGGGGGACAGAACACACGTTTCCCACCGAAAACAAAACACTGGGAGCCGCAAAACCCTTTTGATATCTAAAATGAAGATAAGACTGCATATATCCTTTTTTACCTTTATGATGTGTGTGTGTGTATGTGTGTGTGTATGTTTGTGTGTGTATATATAAAATAAAGGTAAAAAAGGATATATGTAGTGTTATCTTCATTTTAGATGTCAAAAGGGTCTCTCTGTCTCTCTCTGTCTCTCTTTCCTCTCTCTCTTTCCTTTCTTTCCTCTCTCTCTTTCCTCTTTCTCTCTTTCCTCTAACTTTCTCTCTCTCTCTTTCCTCTCTCTTTCTCTGTCTCTCTCTCTTTCCTCTTTCTCTTTCCTCTCTTTCTCTTTCCTCTTTTTCCTCTCTCTTCTCTTTCCTTTCTCTTTTTCCTCTCTTTTCTCAATCTTTTTTCTCTTTCCTCATTTTCTCTCTTTCCTCTCCCCCTCTTTCTTTCTCTCTTTCTCTCTCTCTTTCCTCTCCTTCTCTCCCTTTCCTCTCTTTTTCTCTTTCCTCTCCCCCTCTCTCTTTCCTATCCCTCTTTATCTCTTTCTCTTTCCTCTCTTTCCTCTTTCCTCTCTCTTCTCTTTCTCTCTCTTTCTCTCTCTTTCCTCTCTTTCTCTTTCCTCTTTCTCTCTTTCCTCTCTCTTCTCTTTCTCTCTTTCCTCTAACTTTCTCTCTTTCCTCTCTCTTTCTCTGTCTCTTTCTCTTCCTTTCTCTTTCCTCTAACTTTCTCTCTCTTTCCTCTCTTTCCTCTCTCTTTCCTCTCTTTCTCTTTCCTCTTTCTCTTTCCCTCTTTCCTCTCTCTTTCTCTCTTTCTCTTCTCTTTCTTTCCTCTTTCTCTTTCCTCTCTCTCTTTCCTCTTTCTCTTTCCTCTTTCTCTCTCTTCTCTTTCTCTTTCCTCTTTCTCTTCTCTTTCTTTCCTCTTTCTCTCTTTCTCTCTCTCTCCCTCTCCCTCCAGGTTAGGAGAGAGAGAATGAAAGGCAGACGGCGCCGAACGGGCAGGGAGGGAGAGCAGGACGGGAGGCAACAGCTCCCGGCCGCCGCCCCCATTGCGTCCTCAGCCGAACGGGCGGGGAGGCAGCGGCTCCGGCAGCGGACGGGAGGCAGCAGCTCCGGCAGCGGACACTGCAGCATCATCGGGGTCACCGCCGCCGCCCCTGACCCGGCCACCGCTCTTGCCGCATCCTCAGCCACTTCGCCATCGCAAGAGGAGGGCGCCAAGGCCGGGTGCACCATGGGTGGCTGCGGCTGCAACGGGGAGTGCCGCTGCGGGGACAAGGGGGGGGTCCCGATCGCCGCCAGTCCCATCGCCCTCGCAGCCCAAGGTCTCCTTCTCCTGCAGCACCGAGGGCAGCGGCAGCTCCCCGAAAGTGGCCGAGGAAGGCGCCATCGATGGGGCCAGGTGGTGGAGAGCCATGCGGCAGCCAGGCGAGCTTCATGCCTGATTGCTGCCCGGCCTGGGGAGACATGCGGGGGCATCGCAGGCTGCCCGGCCTGCGATGCCCCCGCTGGCCGCCACACCAGCCATGACTGCCGCCCGGCCCGGCCTGGGGAGACATATGGCCGGCTCGGCTTCCCAGGGTGCGATGCTCCCGCCAGCCGCCACACCAGCCATGACTGCCGCCTGGCCTGGCCTGGCCTGGCCTGGGGAAACATGTGGCCGGCTCGGCCATATTTTCTGGCGTATAAGACGACTGGGTGTATAAGACGACCCCCGACTTTTGAGGAGATTTTCAGGGTTTAGAAAGTCGTCTTATACGCCGGAAAATATGGTAGTAACTGTGAGAGGGATCTCGGAGTCCTAGTGGACAATCACTTAAATATGAGACAGCAGTGTGCTGCAGCTGCCAAAAAAGCCAACCCAGTGCTGGGCTGCATTAACAGAGGGATAGAATCAAGATCACGTGAAGTATTAATACCACTTTACAATGCCTTAGTAAGGCCACACTTGGAATACTGCATCCAGTTTTGGTCACCACGATGTAAAATTCTACGACTCTGAGATCTTTCTCATGTCTCTTCTCGTTGTTTCTACTAATCCCCTGACCTCCGATTTTGTATTAATGAACGGTTGCTGGAATTGGGTATGTCTAGTTTAACGAAGAGAAGGACGAGGGGGGACATGATAGCAGTGTTCCAATATCTCAGGGGCTGCCACAAAGAAGAGGGAGTCAAGCTATTCTCCAAAGCGCCTGAAGGCAGGACGAGAAGCAACAGGTGGAAACTGATCAAGGAGAGAAGCAACTTAGAATTAAGGAGAAACTTCCTGACAGTTAGAACAATTAACCAATGGAACAACCTGCCTCCAGAAGCAGTGAATGCTCCAACACTGGAAGTTTTTAAGAAGAGACTGGACAGCCATTTGTCTGAAATGGTGTAGGGTTCCTGCCTGAGCAGGGGTTTGGACTCGATGACCTCCAAGGTCCCTTCCAACTATATTATTATTATTATTATTATTATTATTATTATTATTATTATTATTATTATTATTATTATTATTATTATTATTATTATTAGCCTTTTTAGCATGCATCACGTGTGCGTGTCAAATGTGGGAAAAGTGGACAGGAATTTTCCAGACATTCACGCACAATTCTGTATTTAATATATACAGTAGATTCCACTTCACTAACTATGCGTTCTACACAATTCCACTTCACTAACTATGCGTTCTACACAATTACAAATCGAGCATTTTACAGTGCCTTCTCTGTTTTCTTCTCTTGCTTCTGCAGTTTATTTCTGGGGTTTTATTTCTGGCTTGCTTTATCCTAAAAAAGAAGGAAACTAACTCTTTTCTGGGCTTGTGGGACTCCAACGCCCTTGTCAAGCTATCCTCCTTGACATCTAGCCCACTGTCTGAGAATTATAGACTTTTCCATTAGCCATTTTGCTCAATGGATCTTTTTCTTGGGTTCTGTTTCCTCCTTCTGGGTCTCCGACTGCAGATGCCTCCTCCTTGATAATACAATATTATTAGTCCATGCTGTACAACAGAGGTCCCCAACCTTTTGGACACTAGGGACCGGTTACATGGAGAGAGATTTTTCCGTGGACTGGAGGGTGCATGGTTTCGTGTACTGCCTGCATCCTATGGATGGGGTTTTGGTTGTTTGTGCGGACCGGTTGCTGGCATGCCGTGGCCCGGTATCAGTACACGGACCGGGGTTTGGGGACCCCTGCTGTACAAGAACGACTCCAAGAATGACCAACAGTCTTATCTTCCATTATTTGATGCTTCTGCCCTTTTATGTTTTAATATTTAAAACTAGAAGACAGGTGTTTTAATTAAGCTTGAAGCTTCTCTCTGTCTATGTGACATTGAGAATAATTTTGACCCACAGACTTTGTGACTGTTGTATCATCCCAAGTCCATCAGAGCAATTCACCCAGTCATGGTGTGACATATATATAAAAAGGAGCAGGACTTGAATGGTCTTGGTCAGGGGTCTGCAACCTTGACAACTTTAAGACTTGTGGACTTCAGATCCCAGAATTCCTTAGCCAGCAATTCCGGGAGCTGAAGTCCACAAGTCTTAAAGTTGTCAAGGTTGCAGACCCCTGGTCTTGGTCACTGTTTATTCTCCTGCTTCTGCATGTCTTCCAATGATAACTGGTGTAATTCAGTATTTGTGAAGGACATCAGGTTGGAGCTGATTACTGCAAGCACTTACTAAGGACTAATGCTGATTTAATAATCTACTTCTTCATAAATAGAAATTGGGTGGCTTTGTGAGATTACTGCAAATTTTATATTTTCTGAATTGTATAGATAGCTAACAAGGTCGTTAATCACTGTACTCTCCTATATTCTTGGGTGGCAGGATAGGGTCAACTTCTACATAATCACTTTGGGAAACCAATGCAGTAGAGGGCACAATGCTATTTTGGTATAGGTAGAGCAAGTTGGACGATATCTGAGCCTGTTATTCTAGGTTCAGATTTGGGGTTTATGAAAAAAAGTTTAAATCTCCCATTTCTACATGATCTTTATAAGAAGGCTGATTGGTACAACCAACTTGTACAGTACAACTTTACTTTCTCTCTCTAGGTCCAAGGAGTTAATAAAGGAAGCTATCCTCGACAATGATTTCATGAAGAATCTGGAATTGTCTCAGATCCAGGAGATTGTGGATTGTATGTATCCAGTGGAATATGGCAAAGACAGTTGCATCATCAAAGAAGGAGATGTTGGCTCACTGGTATATGTCATGGAAGGTATGTTAGACAATTGAGAACTGAGCATTTATATGAAGGGTATGCATATGATTTCCCCTTTATTTGATGGCCAGGCAGGAAGTATTCCCAAATTGTTGTTGTTGTTGTTGTTGATGATGATTATGACAACAACAACAACAACAACAATAATAGTAATAATAATAATAATAATAATAATAATAATAATAATAATAATAATAATAGTAATAATAATAGAGTTGGAAGGGAACTTGAAGGTCTTCTAGCCCAACACCCTGCTCAGGCAGGAAACCTTATACCATTTCAGACAAATGGCTGTCCAGTCTCTTCTTAAAAACTTCCAGTGATGGAGCAGCCACAACTTCTGGAGGCAAGTTGTTCCACTGGTTAATTGTTCTAACTGTCAGGAAATTTCTCTTTAGTTCTAGGTTGCTTCTCTCCTTGATTAGTTTCCATCCATTGCTTCTTGTTCAGGTGCTTTGGTGAATAGCTTGACTCCCTCTTCTTTGTGGCAACCCCTGAGATGTGGTATAGATGTTCAAGAGCATCTTAATACTGTGAAACAATTCTTGAATGATTACAACTTGGTTTAGGTCTGGTGTGCTGCAATTAGGATTTATTCTAATGAGGGGAATCATTACATATCACAATTCTCCCCATGATTTGCTGCAGGGTTGTTTAAAATAATCTAGGTGAAGTAAGAATGTTGACAAATACACTCTCTTAATATGGGAGACTTATATAGGATACATAGAACAATTAATCAGTGGAACAACCTGCCTCCAGAAGCTGTGAATGCTCCAACACTGGACATTTTTAAGAAGAGTCTGAACAGCCATTTGTCTAAAATAGTATAGGGTTTCCTGCCTGAGCAGGGGGTTGGACTAGAAGACCTCCAAGGTCCCTTCCAACTTTATTATTATTATTATTATTATTATTATTATTATTATTATTATTATTATTATTATTATTATTATTATTATTAGTGTTGTTGTTGTTGTTGTTGTTGTTATTTATTGTTATTGCATATTTCAGTCATTTCCCCCTCGCAATTCTTCACAAACTAGTGTGAAGAACCAACTTTTGATTGTCTTTTCTTTGGCCTCATAATGCTTGAAAATGGGTGAGAAATGCTGGTAGCCATTCCATTTTTTTCTCCAGTTGACCAAAAGAAAAGTTCTAAAAATTGGGCTCAGGTGGTGTCTCACCCTTTCAGCTAACCACAACTTCTGAAGTCATAAAACTCGCTCATTTCTTTATGTTCAGGACATTAGGAATATGCAGCACAAACATGCTCTTGAGTGCTTTCTAACATTCTACGTTCTTTTGGTATACATCTGAGTCTGGAAAAACATGCATTTGAATTTAAATAAGCTCAAATATACCTGCTCTAAAGCATCTTTTTACACCCCTCTCAGCACCTCTTTTAGTCAAACATGTATTGTCCTGGAGTTGTGTGGCTATTGTAAAAGCTCAGAAAAAGAGGCTGCTTTTTTGAAGGAAGCACTCAGAAATGCATCATGCACATCCACATCCTTTCTGAAACATCTTTCAGACTTTGTATTATAAGTAATACATATCCCCATAACACATGTTGCATATCTCTGTCTACCCAATGCAAAATCATCAGCAACACACACACACACACACACACACACACACACACACCCGCTTCTTACAGCAAGGAGCAAGCCTGCTGTGAAGATCCTCTCTTCTCGATTTTATTGAAATGCCTTCGGTGATAGTGATACTGTACTGGAAAAAAATACCATGGTGCCAGGCTTTTTACAATGATTCTAGCCAAGGGGAGTGTGTGTGTGTGTATGCGTATGACTAATAGTTTGCTTGATCCCTGGAGCTGGGATATGGGCCAAGGGAAGGATTTGATACAGTCTGCTTATATAAGCAGAGAAAATCAAGCCAGGAATCTTTTTGCAGGGGTGGTGAAATTGACTGGAAACTAACCAGGAGTATTAAGATCAAGTTAGCTGATTAGTTTTCTGTATTTCTTAGCAGTTAGGTTGCTGTGGATGCTGAAAAAAAACTTGTTGTCTGTAAAATCTGGAAGATTTGATGCAGCAAAAGCCAAGTGCATATAAAACCAGACCACTTGCATACCTTGGCATTATAAAAATATTCCAGCTTTGTTCTAGTTACAAGTGCAGAGGCATAAAAATGCCAATTGGGGCTTCAAAAGATCCAGCATCATGGGAATGAACAGAACTTAATCTGGAGCTGGTGAAAGGAAAACAGTAATTACCCTGCTGATTCTGTTACTGAGCTGATTGCATTCTCTAGGCAGATATTCACTGTAAGGGCAGACTAGCTACTGAATAACTGGTTCACTTGTTATTTTGAAGACTATCTAATGCCAGTTGTAAGGCACCTCTTTCCCTCTTCTTACAGTTCAAAGATTGGTGTTTGTTTCAAATCCAGCTCATGGAAACTGACAGAACAGTGCAACAGATTATGCAATTTTACTGCAATGTTTTCTAGGATTCTAAAATTTTAATCCTAAAATTAAAATGATTTTCTTCCCATTTGCAGTTGATTCCGAAGGCAGCAGTTTTATTTTGAAGAATGCTTGAGATTTGTGGTATATCCTATACCAGTGGTGGCGAACCTATGGCACGGGTGCCAGAGGCAGCACTCAGAGCCCTCTCTGTGGGCACGCGCGCCGTCGCCCCAGTCCTAGGCCTTCAGCTGGGTTTTATAAAACCTTTTCGCTTTAAGCCTCCACCACCATGTGCAAAAAAAAAAAAAGATTCAATCAGTCAATTTCAACTTCTCACGGGAAAAAAAAGATCTTGCAAAGTTGGAATTGATTGATTGAACTTTTTAGTCCCACCCAGTCTGCCGTTACCACCGTAGCCACGCCCACCCAATTGGCCACACCCAGCCAGTGGGCCATACCCACCCGGCATTCAACGATGCATAAGTGGGTTTTGGGTTGCAGTTTGGGCACTCAGTCTCTTAAAGGTTCGCCATCACTGTCCTATACTGTTTCATTATTTGCTTACCCTTAAATTTTTATCACTCTCTTTAGAATATACCTTAATTTCCTGAGTTTCAAAACAACACATTTCTTTGTAATATTGGAACCTAAGAAACAAGACAGAATCTTTTCTCACTCTGTCAAAAGACTAGAAATTTTAAGGACAGTATATTGCAATTGGTATTGTTCTTATTGTGTAAGGGTAATTAAATTTGAAATCACTGTTATTCCTCTGCAAGGGATCAAAATGGGGAAAAATACAATATTTTATGTCATCATTGATGGTTGTAAAATACCTGCATATCCTCATGTATTTTCCTTAATATTCTTTTGTACATTATGTGAAATATAATGTTATTGCAGTTGTGTCAGATATTCTAACAGAAGAGACAAAGAGGCTTACATTCCCAAGAACCTCGAATAGGTTTAATAATCTGTATCCATGTGCAACAATTTCTGGGCATATGATACATTTGAGAGAATGAACTATATTCTGTCACTGTATTTTCAAACTTTTGGAAAAAAGCAAGTGCTGTTACTGTACTTCTACATTTTTATAATTTCAAAATATAGTATCACACATTATAGTCCTATTATTGATCACAATCAGTAGTGATAAGTTAAGGTAACAATTCTGATTAAGCTAGCTGTCGCTTTTTTTGAAAGCACAATGAAACTAGTAAATTTAGGTAATCCAATAAGGCTGTAAACAATATAGTGTAAACAAGACCCAAGCTAATGTGTTAATTTGTATATTCATTATCTAATACTATACTTTTCATACAAAGTTGTATACTATATGCATTGTCAATTTATATAAATTCCTCTTAGTCTTTCTGTCTATTGCTTGTTCAAGAAGGCACACAAAAATGTGTTGGTAATTTTTAACTGGTTCATTGATCACAGGGTTGAGTAGATTTATACTTTGTGTTTCAGCATTTTCATGAAATATTACAAATAGGTTTCCAAAATCCTTTTGTCTCTAGGTCATATCCTACACCTGACCAGGTGTATGTAGGTGCTTTCTCAAATTCCTGTCTTGGACTTTAATCTACATCCTCATATAATCAGATCAAGTTTATTAAGTTTGCCAGAGGGAATTAACATTGTGCATACATTGTGCACTTTCTAATATGCTAAGGCAGTTATTAGAGATAGATTAAGTTGTTAATTCACTAAGGCATCACATTTTGTGTCTAATACTGTCGGTTTTCCAGTCCAGTTTTTATTGGGATTCCAAATTATTTAAAAGAAATACTTTGAAAAATATTCTAATGTTCAACCATTGTGGAAAAAAAAGTTTAAACACATACAGTAGCTAAAACTTCCCCTTTTGTTGTCTTAATGACTGTCTACAACCTTTTTTAGAAATTTGTATGCAGACGACAGTTTATAAAACCTGAAGGTGTAATTTGCAGACATTTTAAGCACTGCATTCTAAAAAGCATGTAATGTCTCTGATGCTCTCCTGAGCACATAGACTCCAGTGTGTAAAAAAAACAGAAATTAAATTACATAGATTTTATATATAACTATCAATAGAAACATTATTTTAATGAAGTGTTATATAAAACCATGAGAATTGCAGCTAATGTCATTTTATGCAGATTTAATTTCAGTTTGCTAACCTTCATCCACCTCTGGATCCCTAATGGCCCCAATTGAAGGTGGACATGAGATACAGAGTTTGATGCTCCCTATTTACTAATGGCCCTTCTTTCAAGTTTCTTCCTATTAAGGAGCATCAGAACAGAATAACTTGATAAAGGATGACATGGAGAAATAGGGAAGTATCTTCCAGCACCATCTTTCTGATTTATCAGGTGAGGCCAGACCCATCAAATTTGTCTTCTGACTTAGAAGAATGGAAGATGCAGCAGACCTAACAAAAATATTCTTCCCCAATTAAATTTTTCAAGTGCAGTTCATCAGCCCACACAAACAAAGGCCTTTGGGTAATGAGTCTAGGCCTGAAATCAGATTGAAATAGATTCAAATAATGGATTCCATTTTTGTTGTGTCCTGA